GATTCAGTTCCATTTGAAGTCCTAAGAGTCCTAAATCTGACTAGAAGATCAATGGCTCACTTCCTCCTGATTTCTTTTATGGGGCAGAGATTCTTGCTCTGCATCCATCATCCAGCACAGAATCCAGACTTCTACATAGAGCTCTTCACCTAATAGACCCCATCCAGGTGAGTCCTTGACCCCAGTGTGTTCTTAGGAAAGGTGAAATAAGAATGGAAACTGATAAAATTTACCTCATGTCAACTGATAACCAATCAAGCCTTGTCCAGAGGTGTGAAATTACTGTGTGCCTTGGCTTGTATGAATAATTAATTGAAAACATATTTAATATATTAAAAAAGATGAGGGTTTACCCCCTGCAATGCATAGATCATTAACAATCTTGTGATGGGAATGGAAGTCCAGGTGTAGTCTAATGAAGAAGTACTATGAAGTATTTCTCATAAAAATAGAATGTATCCTGTTTGGGTCCTATGAATATAGAATATTGGAACACTAGTTGCTCATCATAGTTGTAAAAGTTTATGCTTTCAGTTTTTACTTTTATTTGCTGCAAAGGGACTACATATACTTGGGTCTGTTAATGAATGTGAACAGTTTTTAATGATTTTTGCCAGTAAACAGTTCTGCAATAAAGATATACATAAATTATAAAATGTTATGAAAGACTTGTAGACTGAGATTTTTGCCATGGTCAAAATTAACAAGATTTGATGATTAATAAATCACATTTTAAGAAAGCTTGTCAAATATTGTATAGTCATGAAACTTTTATTTAGTGTACTCTGTTAAAGTGATTCTTCTTTTAGATCATTGGCTTCCTTTTGTTAAGCAACAAAAAAATAATTTTCTTTAAAAGAATAGAATTTATCCAAGAATATTTCAACTAGCCACGAGGAAATTGAGTTTTAGGTGTGGAAATGTGTGAAATGAAATTAGGGCATTTTCTTCTTTAGTTTGTAATATGCAGCATATTTGAGCCAGTTTTCATATTCATTAAAAAGGCAAGATGAATGGAATCCTTGTAATCTTTACCTAACAACAAGAGCTTGTAAAGCACACTTCACAGTGCCTGCTTCCACATTGGCATTCACACAAAAGAGTTCTTTGGTCTTACAGGGACTAAGTATTTTTATCTTTTGATTTGAAAAAGTGAATCGAAAGTTATTTGACTAAGTTTAGCATTTTCTGTTTATGTGTTTTAAATATGTCTTGATATGTTTTGCAGAGGGATGTGTGAAATTTTATGCATTTTGTGGAATCAAAATTATCTGTTGTTCATTGTCATAGTCATTCCCCCACTGCATTTTAAATCTGAATATTGCTGAATCATTACTATTAATAAGTTGGTTTTTTACCTGTAGCCATCTTACTTTCTGTTTTTCCTGATTATTAGAGCTCTGCGTTTTGTGATTTTTCCTGGTTTTTACAAAAGCAATCATCTTCTAATTTTGGGCCGAGTGTGATCTTTTCAATTCATCTAAAGGTCATATACATCTTTTGTAGGCATATTTTCACACACATCTGTTTCATCACCTGTGTGGAGATTCCCTTTCTGGACAGTGGGTATAAATTACTGGCATCACAGTTCAGTGTGAGAATTAAGTGTGATAATTCATGTGCTGCCTGAGCCCAGGGTGTGTTGAGACTTCAGGAAGGGAGCTGGTAAAATAATGCAATCAAGGTTTTACTTAATTTTATTACTGTTACCTAGAGTTGTGTCCAGTGAAAGCAGAATACAGTCACTCTATGCATATACTATGTGAAATTATATCTTCAGATAGTGCATATTCTACTGTTCCAAAAAAAGAGTATCTTTCCCAATTTCATTTCCAGGTCTAGTCAATTAAAGTTGGAATTAGACACTCATTTTCATATCATTAAATATTTATTTCAGATTTTTTATTGAGAAGTGATTTTAGATTTCCATTGACTTTCATTTATGGCAACTGCATGGATTCCATTTATTTACTTGAAATTTTTTTTGTTGCACAATTCTCTATTTCTTAATTGTTTTCTAGATTTTATAATTTTTTATCTTTTCAGTAAACCAAAAGGAGTCAAATACTTAGATCTCTGCTCGTTGGATCTCACTTTATAATGACAGTGTACAACACAATGAAATTAGTGCATGTGTGGTTCAGTGATCCCACAGATAATCACATGCAGACAGAGGATAGATGTCCCAACAGGCACAGCATCTCATAGAGCCTTCTTTAGAGCACTAGGGCCTGAGCTCACATATTTTATACTGGGAATAACACTTTTAAGATGCTGTTGATTTCACTTTGCAAGCATTCCATTGAGGATGGTTGCATCTATAACCTTCAAGAACATGGCCTATAATTTTCTTTTCTTTCATGGTCGTCATCTAACCCAATTGTGTCCCTTGCAATCCCGACATAAAAGATAAACACAGGAAAATAAACTTGAATCCACTTCTATAAACAGCATGCATTTGAGATCAGAATAAAGCATGATAACATGTACATAGGATAACAAATGTATTCAGACTCATAGATAGACTCATGGAATAGAACATTGGTATAGGAAGAATGGAAAATGTGCAGTTATCTCTTAGTGGATATAAGGACACAGTTATATAAGATCAATTTTTAGATACCTGCCCTACAATGTAATGCAGAAAACTAACAGTATGATGTTGTGCACTTCAAAAGGTATCACAAGGGTGCACACACCCATAATTCCAGCACAAAGGCAAATGAGGCAGGATAGATCATGAGTTCAAAGCCAGCTTACCTTACATAGGTAAACTTCGTCCCAAAACACAGAAAAAGAAAAAGACAGAACTAGAAAGAACTTTTGTGAAGAGAATAGATCTGATATAACTGTTTCTCAAAGTAGAAAAATAAAACAAATCTAAAGGGACACAAGACAACTTCATGAGGTGACAATTATGCCTGTAACTTTGATGGTGGTGATAATATGACTAGAGTGTGCCTGCTCTAAACTCATCCATGTGCACACATGACACGGTGCAGTTCTTTGCATATGGATTATAGCTGCTTAAAACTGAAGTATAAGAACAACAGTGGAATCAAGTTCTCTGCATCTGAAAATCTTAAATTTTTACCTGTTCCTGGAGGTTACCTCCATGCTCAACTTTGTTGGACATGGTGTCTCTTTCATCTCATTCTTGCTCTTTCTCATGCCACAGTGCCTGCATTTTGAAATTTAATGTACAATAAAAACACCAACCTTGGTGTCATTGCACTGCTCATGCCTGATGCCAAACACAGCCTTCTGAGATCAACTCATGGCTTCACTCCCATCCTCAAGGTTGTCTAATTTACCTGTCTTCTTGAACCCCATAAAAATCACCTACGTCCACTCCACTTTTACCTGCTCATTTTTTAATAGGCATTATAACCATCTGATATATTATATGGTAAATTTCTGTATTTTTATATTGGCATATAATAATTATGCAAGGGGGATACATGGTGACATTTATATATGTGCTTACAATTTATCTCAATTAGATTCATTCCTTCCATCATTCTTTCTTGTTCCTGCTCCCATCCTTCTTAGGTCAACTTCAACAGATTTCACTTCTCTATTTTCATACATGTATACAAAATGCCTTCAACATATCCCCCCTCCTTTACCCTCTCTGGCAACCCTTCCCCTCCCTATGATACCCACTCCTGGACAAGACCTGTTTTATCTTCCTGTTCATCACATTTTAAGTACCTTAGATTCCAGACATATATTGTGCTTTAATCAGATTAAACATGCATTACTTACACTTCTTCTATCACCCTTCTCCTTTATCATTCAGAAGTTTACAGTGTTCTCTGTTATATTATCTTCATACACAGATGTATTGCATTCCATTCTCTTTTCCTCGCCTGCCTCCCATAATTCCATCAGAGAGAAGGACAAATATAATCATGTTCTATATCACTCTATTATCTAGCTAGATAGCCAGCTGTATATTTATCTATTTATGTGAATATGTACATAAGATCATATGTGTCCATTGACCTTTTTGGTCTAGGTTCCACAAATGAGGTAAAACGTGACTTTTTTTGTACTGCGCTTGGCTTACTTCCTTAACATGAACATCCCACTTATCTACAAACAACATAATTTCATTTTCTTTATGGATGAATAACACTCCATTGCTTATATATACAACAATCTCTTCATCTACTCATCAATGATAGGGCATCTGGGTTATTTTCAAATCTTGGCTGCTGTGAATAGAGCTTCAATAAGTATGAATGTGCAGTTATTTCTATTACATCCTGACGTACATTCCTTTAGGTTTATGCCCAGGAGTAGTATTGCTAGATTGTAAGGCAGCTTTATTTAAGGTTTTTGCAGAGTCTCCATATTGCTTTCTATAGTGCTTGAACTAATTCACACTCCCAGCAGTGGTTGATAAGTTTCCCTTTGCCCCACATCCTCACCAGTGCCTGTTTTTTGTGTTATTGATAATAGCCATTACAACAGAGTGAGGTGAAATCTCACTGTGGTTTTGATTAATGTTCTTTTTATAGTTAAGGATGTTGAGCATTTTAACTGACACATTAAAAAATAAACATGCTGATGGCATACCATGTGCTATTTAATTAAATGAACAGATTGTAAGGTGTCCAAGTCTATCTATGTTTTCAAAAATGTATCATTCATTTAAGGTGAAAAATTCAAAATTTTCTTTTACGTCTTAATGTTGTGAATTCCCTTACCTATTTATATGCTTTATCCATAAAGATCTGTAAGAACTTTTATATCTCAGTAATGTACACTCATTGCCTACACAGTGCTAAGAACAAGGATGTATCTCAATTTACATTATTCAAATACATGATAGAATTGTGTAACAAAACTTTGGAATATACAGTATTTTAAAGAAAGTATAGACATGATAGGAATTACTAACTAGAAAGGCCATCAGTGGTGTCCTACAGGTGATCAGGCACAAAAAGTGTTGTCATATAGTTTTTCTTTTTTCTGAAAGTCACATACAACACATGGAACCAAAAAATTATACACAAGTTTCAGAATTTATTCTTCTGGGATTTTCAGAACATGAACTTCTACAGCCTCTCTTCTATGGACTGTTCCTGTCCATGTACCTGGCCACTGTCCTTGGGAACCTGCTCATCATCCTGGCCACCATCTCAGACTCCCACCTGCACACACCCATGTACTTCTTCCTGTCTAACCTGTCCTTTGCAGACATCTGTATAACCTCCACCACTGTCCCAAAGATGCTGGTGAATATCCAGACACACAGCAAGGTCATAACGTATGAAGGCTGCATGACCCAGATTTATTTTTTTGTTTTATTTGTGGTGTTGGACAACTTTCTCCTGGCTGTGATGGCCTATGACCGTTTTGTAGCTATCTGTCACCCCTTGCATTATACAGTCATCATGAACCATCACCTCTGTGTGTTATTAGTTATGGTGTCTTGGATCACAAGTGTTCTGGATGGAGTATTACAAAACTTCGTGGCATTGCAGCTGTCCTTCTGTACAGAGGTGGAAATCCCTCATTTTTTCTGTGAACCTAATCAATTAAATCACCTTGCCTGTTCTGATACATTTCTTAATGACATGGTGACATACATTACAGCTATACTGATGGGTGTTTGTCCCCTCAGTGGCATCCTTTATTCTTACTCCAAGATCATGTCATCCATCTCTGCCATCTCCTCAGCTAAGGGGAAATACAAGGCATTTTCCACATGTGTGTCTCACCTCCTGGTTGTCTCCTTATTTTACTGCACTAGCCTAGGAGTATACCTCACTTCTGCCATGACCCAAAACCAGCACTCAACGTCAAGAGCATCAGTGATGTACACTGTGGTCACCCCTATGATGAACCCTTTCATCTACAGCCTGAGGAATAAAGAAATCAAGAGATCTTTGAAAACACTCTTTGAGAAAGAAGATATAAAAGTTGTCTTTGCCTTGGGTTTAAAAAAGCACTGTTGAGCATAAGACTGAAGCCCTTGGAACAGAAATTACTATATTTTGATCTGATGTTCCTTTTGTTTAATTACTGTTTCTTTGATTTCAACTTCTGTATAAAATGAAAGTAACTGAGTTTATAAAAATTCTGCTTCTTCTGATATCAAAATAAGGTCAGTTTATGAAACCGGTACTTTCTCAATTATTTAAAATATTGAATAGCTTGGCTTAAGTCTATAATTCTATCTACAAGGGAGGTGGAGATTAGTATTGTGGTTCAAGGACAGTCCAGGCAACATGTTCTCAAGTCCAAATCTCAAAAAATCGCTGGATGGAATGGAGTTCACCAGTTATCCCAGCTAGAAAGGAAAAACAAATAGGAGGATGGTGGTCCAGGAAAAAACTGAGATCCTATTTCATAAGTAACCAATGCAAAAAGGGCCTATGGAATGTTTGAATTGGTAGAGTACCTGCACAGAAAGTGTAAGATGATAAGTTCAACCCACCAGAACTGCCAACAAACAATCACAGTTTGGAATATCAGAAATTCTCAATGGACTAAACATTTGTCTTCAGATTTTATTCCCAAGTGCCTTAGGTAACACTTTTATGTTTCCTTATTGTTTCTCAAGGTCATACTCATGCCTGACACTACTCCTATGGGGAAATAAACCAACTTATCTGCTTAAACTGTTAATCCATTTTCATACCAGAGAACATTCTAACTGCACAATTGAGCACTATGAGTCCATCATTACTGCAAGCTTTAGTATGTCAACTGCTTCTCCTGATAAAGTAGGTTTTAAAAGATCAGTGTGTTTCATTGGTCTTATTGGAAGGATTATATTTTCTTATTCAGCTTGGTGCCCACAGTATGTACCACAGTTGCTAGTAAAAGATGGTTATCAAATATGTAACACCACATGAAGTCTAAGTGTAAGATGTATTGAAATATGAGATGGATTTATTTGGTCTTAGAATGTGAACTTTACATAAGATGAGTTCAACGCTGACATTAAACATTGAGTAACTGTAGAAGATATTTCTTTTTCATACTGTAAATATAAGCATTTTGGTATGTAAGAATACTGTTCAGTGTAAGGGGATTTACTCACTGAGGATTTGCTCACCTGTTTTGTAAATTTTATTATTGAATCCTCCCTCTGGTTCCACTGGAAAACTTCAAGTGCTCCCTACAACTATGATTCCTTCCATTGCTCTAAATTAAATATTTATTTTTCTAAATTTATCATAGCCATTATTGTGGGAGTAGATGAACAATATTAATATCATCCATTAGATAGCTCCTTTATGCTCATAGATTATTTAAACATTATGATCAAAGAATTTACAGGGAGCTCAAAAAATAAATTCACAAACAATCAGCATACAAATGAAAAAATGAGCAAATAACCTGACAGAATTTTTTCAAATGAGAATTCCAAGGTGCCAAAAATCACATACAGAAATGCTCACTGTCCCTGGCCATAAAGAAATGCACATAAAAGCCACATCAAGATTCCACTACACTCCTGTTAGAATATGCACTTTCAAACAACACTAACAACAACAAATGTTGGAGAGGATGCACTGAAAAAGGAACCATCATAGATTGCTGGTAGGAATGTAAGCTAGTATAAGCACTATGGAAAACACTATGAAGACTCCTCAATAAACTAAAATGAATATATATATATATATATATAAATGCATTTATATATATATATATATGCATTTATATATATATAGAATGTGCTGTATAATATACAATTATATATATAAATAAAATGTGTTTCCATAACTGAAACTTTTAGAAGAGACTAAGAGAAGAGGGAAAGAAGAAGAGAACGAAGAAGGGAGTGAATAATATTGAAATGCATCACAACTTTATGGGAATAAGACATAATGAAACTCAATGAAAATTCTTAGACTATACAGGATAAGGTAAAATGGTAAGGTGAAGTACCTGGAGGTAAGACTGACTAAAGTACAATATATTTTCAGGTAAAATACCCAGGCAAAACCCCACTGAAAAATGAACAGACACTTAAACATTTAAGGACAATATTTTAAAACAGGTCATGTTAAGGGGAAGGCACAAGTGGGAGGTGGACAATAAATGAAGAGGATAAAAGTGGGTGAAAATGGTAGATGTGTTTTCAATACATGTATGAATATGGAACATTTAAGCCTAATGAAGTCATTTTAAGAAGGTGGATAGGAAAGAGTGAGAAAAATGGAGGAAATGAACAAAGCCATGGTACATTGTTTGCCTATGTGAAAATATCACACAGAATCACTGTACAACTCATATACTAATAAGAAATAAATTAAATCAGAAAGAAAAATGTACTAACACCAATGCCTCTGAAATTATTCCACAATTTTGAAGCTGAAGGAATACAATGAAACTGACTATACAAAGTCAGTAAATATGAAACGCCACAGAAACAGAATAAAGGACAAAAACCAAACTATCATCTCAATAGATGAAGAAAATGCCATTGAGAGACTCCATCTTCCCTCTATGATAAAAAGCCTTAAGAAACTATAATAAACAAAATGTAGTTAAGAATATGTACAATAAAGTTGGGTCAAAAATTACCCAAAATGGGAGAAAACAAACCATTTTCTCTAAATTCATGAATGAGACAAAGGTATCTGCTCTCACTACTCTTATTCAATATATTGCCAGAAACCTTATTCAAAATTGGAAGAGAAGAGAAAGAAATAAAAGGGATGCAAACAGGACAGCAAGAACTGAAATTATGCTGTTTTGCAGATGATATGATCCTGTATTTAAAAGTCCATAAAGAGAGAATTCCAAGATGGCGGCTAGAGGTAGGAAGCAGAAAGCGAGCGTCCTATAGTGAAATCTTGGAGAGACGCTGGAGACACACTTTGCAGGCGTAATCACCAAGAAAAGGCATAACTTTGACTCCTCCACATCTCCAGCCGGCACAGAGAATCTCCACTTCACGTTAAATGGAGAACCGAGGACGGCCCCCGGGGCCGCCAGTGGCCGGCGCCCATACGGTTTGGGAAGATGCGGACCAGTACAGGGACAGTAACAACACCAAGGACAATGACACGAAGACAGAAAAAACAAGGAAACCAGTTTCCCCACAGCAAAACATTAGTACAGGAACCAGAGGGGAATGAAGAGAACAGAAACTCAGATCCAGACTCCAACAAAATGAAGATAAACTATGCCAAAGGACCCAATGAAGCCCACAAGAATAATTTAAAAGAAGACATACTACAAGTACTCAATGAGAATTTTATAGAGATGATACTGGATAGGGTCAACCAAAATGTACAGGAGACACTCAAGAAATTCCAAGACAATAAAAATAGAGAATTTGAAAAAGCAAAAGAAGAAATAAAGGAAACCATAGAAGCACTGTATAAACACCAAAGTGAAAGAGAGAACACAATGAATAAATGGATAAATGAACTCAGGACAAAAATAGACAACAAAAAAGAAGAAAACAGCCAGGATATGGAAAACCTCAGAAAAAAGAACAAAACAGAACTGCAAAACAAAACGGAAGGCCAATCCAGCAGAATAGAACAAACAGAAGACAGAATCTCAGAACTTGAAGATGAAATGGTAATTAAAGGAAAAACCAAAGAACTATTAATTAAACAACTCAAGACCTGTGAAAAGAAAATGCAAGAACTCACTGACTCCATCAAAAGACCAAACTTGAGAATCATGGGCATCAAAGAAGGAGAAGAGGTGCAAGCGAAGGGAATGCGTAATATATTCAACAAAATAATAACAGAAAATTTCCCAAATCTAGAGAAAGATATTCCCATACAAATGCAAGAGGCCTCCAGGACACCAAACAGACCAGATCAAAATAGAACTACTCCACGACATATCATCATTAAAACAACAAGTTCAGAAACTAAGGAAAGAATATTGAAGGCTGTAAGAGAGAAAAAACAAGTAACATACAAAGGTAAACCCATCAAAATCACAGCAGACTTCTCAACAGAAACATTAAAAGCAAGAAGAGCGTGGGGTGAGATCTTCCGGGCACTGAATGAAAATAACTTCAACCCCAGGATACTCTACCCAGCAAAGCTATCATTCAAAATAGATGGAGCAATAAAAGTCTTCCATGATAAGCAGAAACTAAAACAATATGTGACCACAAAGCCACCATTACAAAAGATTCTGCAAGGGATCCTGCACACAGAAAGTGACACCCAACTTAACCATGAAAAGGCAGGCAGCACCAAACCACAGGATAAGAAAAAGCAAGACAGTAGAGAGTAACATCAAGTTAGGTACACACAATCAAACCTTCAAACAACTAAGATAACTAAATGGCAGGAATCACCACATACCTATCAGTACTAACGCTTAATGTTAATGGACTTAATTCACCCATCAAAAGACACCGTTTGACAAAATGGATTAAAAAAGAAGATCCAACAATTTGTTGCTTACAGGAGACTCATCTCACCGACAGAAATAAGCATATGCTTAGGATGAAAGGCTGGAAGAGATTTACCAAGCCAATGGCCCCCGAAAACAGCAGGAGTAGCAATACTTATCTCTGACAAAGTAGACTTCAAACCTACATTGGTCAAATGAGATAAAGAAGGACATTCCATACTAATAAAAGGGAAATAGACCAAAAGGAAATAATAATCATCCAACAATCTGTATGCACCCAACGTCAACGCACCCAATTTCATCAAACATACCCTGAAAGACCTAAAAGCATATATAAACGCCAACACAGTGGTTGTGGGAGACTTTAACACTCCATTATCATCAATAGATAGGTCATCCAAACAAAAACTCAATAAAGAAATCCAAGATCTAAAATATGCAATAGATCAAATGGACCTAGTAGATGTCTACAGAACATTTCATCCAACCTCTACACAATATACATTCTTCTCAGCAGCCCATGGAACCTTCTCCAAAATAGATCATATCCTAGGGCACAAAGCAAGCCTCAGCAAATATAAGAAAATAGAAATAATACCATGCATACTATCTG